GCATCTAGAACTTGAAAACTTTGAAGGGATTTTACTGTCTTTCCTTTTGGAATCACATGAGGTGGTAAGGCTCTTCCTGCTGCATTCACACAAACAATTAAAGTAATCATTTCTCGATTTCCACTTGTTCTCATATGTAAATATTTTGTACATTTTGCAGCAACTATTTTGTGCGCCTTAAAGTCTAGCTGCAGTCCTGTCTCATCCATGTTCCATATTACTTCAGGCTGACAGTCTTTAATGACTTCTTTAAGTGCAGTAAAATAATTTGCCACCTTTATCAGATTCATGCATTGATGACGAACTGATGCTGTTGATTCTGGTTGTTAAAGAGTTACTTTTTTGTTATGTCGATTGTTAAGTAGTCGCCACCATTTATTAGATGGTTTGCCATTCTTAAAAGAATATCCATATTTTTGGCAAGCTTGCCAGCATATACCAAGAATTGTTCTTTTCCAAAACCAATGCCCATCCTAGCTCTGTTGTCTGCAAAATCGAGTAACTTTTTTTCAAGATCAAGCGGCATTAAACTTTTTCTTCCTGCTTTTGCACCAATCTCAACTTTTCCATTTATCCTGCTCTGCAAAGTTGCTCGGGGTACTTAAAAAATTTAGCAGCAGCTCTAACAGACATTTTAGGTGAACTAATAACACTGTTTATAGCTTCAAGTAACACTTCCTCTTTATATTTCATATATTTACCTCGAGTTGGATGACATTGTTTCTTATTATAAATTTTATTTTTATTATCAGCCATTCTAAAATAAAAACTCTATATTATAAATTATTAAAATTTTCAATTAAAGATTATTTTTTAATATAATTTCATAAGTAATAATTTACATGAAACAATATAATATCTTTCAATTATTTAGACTTTTGTTTATTTTTAAGTCATCATCCTCAAATTTTAAAAATATTATATAAATATTTAACTAAATAAATGCAAATATTTAAGATTGATAACTTTTAGGACATAAATGTAACATAAAGTACTTATATTAAAAGAATAAAATCTAGTAATATAAATATTATACAAGTATGAGTTACTTTTAGACACTCGTGAACCTAATTTCGCCCTTGGCCGGAATAAGGGATATACCTGGCCGGATTTTGGTCTTTCTACCAGGTGCAATTAATTAAGAAATACAATCTATAGTAATGACTCAACATAATTATAAAGATAAAATTGTCTTTTTAAGAAATATATTTATAGTTTAAAATAATTAACATTTCGTTAAGTAATAAATATTTAATATTTATAAGCTTCAAACTGGATGCTTACATGATATTTTAAATATAAAGTAGTACTTTTTTGAGATAAATATTTTTTATGATGTTACTTCTATTATAAACAGCCGCCAACTATAACAATGCTTTTTTTTATTGGCTGAATTCATACCAGTCTCAAAAAAGTAGCATTTACAAACATAAAGCAGACACAAGACAGAAATAATAAATTTAAAATGTGGCTGGAATTTGGTCACTGGCTCGAATTTGGTTAGTTTACCCTACCGGCTGCGCAATTATAGAGAAAAAACTCATCATCCAAACTAAATGTAATTTCGAGTACAAAGAAAAATGTATTCATCAGCGATAATTAATCATAGAGATTTGTGTATTTATAAACATATATATCTATGTATATTATACATCTATTTGTATCTAATATATATTTTTATATTTGTACATTAAACATTTAAATTGACAACACGATTTTTACAAAGAAATTTACAAAGAAAACCAAAAAGTTATAAAGATATATATATATATTATATATATATATATATATATATATATATATATATATATATATATATATATATATATATATATATATATATATATATATATATATATATATATATATATATATATATATATATATATATATATATATATATATAGATAGATAGATAGATAGATAGATAGATAGATAGATAGATATAGATATAGATATAGATATAGATATAGATATAGATATATAGGGTTATTTTTCTCTCTGTCTACTTTTAAAACTTTTAACAGCATCTTTTCGTACAGTAGCATTGATTAAGTTCTGCTTATTGTTAAAAAAAACATTAATTATGATTTTAAAAGCAAAATTAAAACCCCATTTTTTGTGTATATCACAGGTAAAACAAATTGTTGGAAAGTATTTTGATAAAATAAAGCTTGATACGTCTTTGACATTAGCACCTTGTTTAGTTATTAAATCTGAAAGGTTATTTAAGACTGCAAAACATCCACATGTAAAATCTTTAAGTGAAAGTGATGGTACTGTAATACCACCTCTGGAAAGTATTTGAAGATATGGACAAATAATTATATTGCTTGTATCTGTAGCTAGCAAAGGTTTGCAATAATTATATTTGCTTCTTTTGATTAATTTTTTAGCAATGTAACCTGCTATTGTTGTTGCAACTTCTTCTGTTTCAGGTGAGAGAGTTGATTCAGATATCTCGTTTGAGTTTAAATCTAATATTGCCAGTAATTCATTATTAATTGGGTTATTGTGGTTGTTTTTTAGATCTTTATCCCAAAAATTTATATTCTTCTTAATTAAAGACCGACATGCTAAAATAATTTCAGAATGTAACTTCTAGTAAGCTAACTAGAAATCTTCCACCACTCATCTGTCGATATTGCAAAAATCTACGCTCTATTGTGTCACTTTGAAGCCGTGAAGTAAGTACATATAATTACCCTTCTTCAATAAATTCATCTATAAGCATTGCTTGAGAATGCAGAGTTGTGATGAGAGCCGATGATGTTTGTTGTGATAAGGTAAAATATGGAGATTTCTGCCAAAGTTCAATCCAATTAGCTAATTGTCGAAAAAAAAAATGTTTTACCATCATTAAGAATAATCGCATTACCAAGTTTATTTGGGCTAAATCGCTCTTTAGAATTTGAAATAGTCCACCATTTGTGAAAAATTGTAAGAAAACCAGAAATGTCTTTACGTTCTGGAAAATAACTCTTAAAACCTGCAATTGTTGTTTCATCAAAAATTGATAGTGCAAGAGAAACGTTTTGCTTTTTGTTACCAGGGTGAAGACTCTGATATGAAATTTTTGGAGCTTTTCGTAAATTGCCTTGAAGTTTCTCATCTTTAGAATGTAGATGATGAAAATCTCCCCAAGTAATATAACCAGCTGGACAATTATTAGAATCATCTTTTATATTGAATGTAAAGGGTGGAAAGACAAATTTTTTACCGTGTAATAAATTATTTCTGATATTTTTAACAAGATGAACACTATCATAAAATAAGTATATTTTAGTATTTGGACTATCAGGATAATTAATAAAGAAATTTGATTGATTACCAAATTTGGAACGAAGCAAACTAAATGCACTTACATTCGATTTATGATTATCGGTAACAACACCTCGAATTTTAAAACCAGATAGCGAAAGAGATCTAATAGAATCGGATATTTGATCTGAAAGCCATTTACCACTTATGTTAACTTCAGGTATCGCTTTAATCATGAAAGGAATTGATTTTTTTAAACTAACTATCATAAATGCAACAACTCCTTTGTACAAAGTACCTGTATCATCTGCACTCACATAAATACCACTACAATATTGTGCTTGTTTCTAAAGATAAAATTCATCTACAATTAATATTACATCTTCATGTATTGAACCTTTCTCACAAAGTGTTTTAACAGCCTTTATTGCATCAACTCCACCTTGTTTTATTTTATTTAACAAAGAAATTGAAGGTAATGGAAATGATTCTAGTAAAATTTCATATGCTTGTTTAGATGTATATCTTAATAATAAAGCATGTCTAATCCTATCAGCAGAATATTGTGGAATATTGACCCTTGGCTTTGTAGTATGTTCGACTATTTATTTCATCAAAAAGTATATTTCTATTAGAAGAAGCGGTATTTTTTATGTACGCTGCAAGATTTTCTGACATACTCAAACTAGTTAATTTAGAATTACGACCGTTAGATAACCATGGAGGAAGTGGAACATTATTTCCTTTATATTGCAAAGCTACACATAAGCAATAATCAATTTTTAATGATTCAAGAATTGATGGAAAAAATGTTATAGGATCAAATATTAAATTATAATAAATTACACAATTGAGATGTTTTTTAAATTGGAAACCTTCTGGTGAATGTTTAATACTTAGCATGGTCCATTCAGTAACTTTATCATTTTCAGAAAAAGAACTAAGTTCATCTTCTTGAAAAATACGACTTTTAGGTGGTCTTCTCAAATCAATAGGCGATGGTAATGTGGAAGGACGTTTTAAGCAATCACTGGAGAAAATTTCAGGAATAAGATATAGATTCCAATTTAACTTGCATTTTTTACCACGGATGATAAACTTTATCATCCGTGGTAAAAAATGGATGATAAAATGCTTTTCACACAAAATGGAGTTTGATGAAGGCACCCAATCAGTACGATTAACAAAATGAACCGAATAATTCAGAAACTGTTGATTTTTAACGGAAAATGAAAAGAAGCAACTTTTTTATCTTCTGAAGAACTGTTGCATTCAGTTTTACAAGCATATGCAACACACTTGTTAACCATGATATGATTCAGCTTTTTTAGTATTTAATAACTTTCTAAAACAGTTATTTTATATGTATATATATATATATATATATATATATATATATATATATATATATATATATATATATATATATATATATATATATATATATATATATAATATATATATATATATAAATGGGACCCATATGGGAAACCCATCGGGAACCCGCCGGATTATGGACGCGGTTTTCTTCTGGGGCACATATGGGTATGCCCGCCGGGTATGCCCGCCGGGTATGCCCGCCGGGTATACCGTGAGGGTTCCACGAGGTTTACTTATTGCAAATCTTGCAAAACTACGTTTAAATGTTTAAAATTTACAGAAAAAGCAAATTTATATATAAATTGATTGGTTTATTTCAACAAAAAAAAAGTAATTAAAATTACACTGTCAAAATAAAGCAAACTTTTGAACGATTCTTTAATCATGTATCAAATGCTTTCACGTTTATCTCGGGAATCGGAAGCTTTTCCATTGTTGTTAAAACGACTTCTTTGAAAACCTCTTTACACAATATCTCGTTTCAATATGAACTGTAAAAAATTAAGTTTAACTGTTAGTTTTAAATTTTATTGGTAACACATAAATTAATTTTAATATGTTATAAAACTCTTACCATTTCTCCCAACTCTCTTCAGATAAAAAATGTAATTTTCACCATCAAAGGTACTTGTAATAGATAAGCACATGCGCTTATGATTCATATAATAAATTGATAACATTCCTTTAGTTACTGATAAATAAATTATATAAAATTATTAAATAAATATATTTTTTTATTTATATTATATATAATTTGATATATATATTGTATATACCTTATATACAGTGCCATGGCTACTAGATACAAGCCCCCCATTCCAAAAAAAAACCTGTCATAAGGGCCCCAAAATTCCTAAAAACTAAATAAAAATCTAAATAAAAATCCTAAAAAAAAAAAAAATCCTTACATTAGTAAAAAAGGGCCCCTAAATTTGCAAATGAGCCCTCTAGACAAACATTTTTTAATTGACCTGAAAAAGTTTTGTATTTGAAAGAAGGACATCTATTAAGTACCTAAAATTTAACTGTATTATTTCCTATATGTGCTAATGAATGGACATTGTATACTAGTTGATCCTTAAGATAAAGTATATAAAAATATTTTCACATATAAAAATAAGTAGCAAAATTACCATATTTTTTCAACAAAATAAAACATAATGAAAGTAGAACTACAACTGAAAAATCTAAAAATTTGAATAGATTTTTGGCTAAACCGTTCCCTTTAAACAACTGGTCCAGTGTATACTATAAATAGTCTAAGCTCAGTTGTTTTCCATTTTTTAATATCTAATTAAGACCTTGATTTTCTATAAAAATTTCTTGGAATGTAATGACGTATCTGGAACAATCCGCCAGATAAAGTATTGACTGTAATCTGAGACAATTTACAACATTTGGGCAATTTAACCATAAGTTGAGAAATCTTCGCATTACACCTAAGCATACTAAATGCATTAAGTCTAAAGGAAACTTTGTCACCATGTCAAAATTTAATTCAATTTAACACACCACTAAGATGTTCAGAATGCTTTTAATGACAAAAAATCTGAATCAGTGCTTAAAATTAGTGAAATATGTAGGAGAATTAACTTGCCACACCACTCTCCTTTCTAAGCACAACATTCACATCAGTTATAACCATTGTGTCCTTTAATACACTTTATAAATGCTCTAGCTGGTGCATCACATATGATAACAGCAAGATTGATTTTCAACTCAATATTTTTATAGATAAAACCATCTTTTGCAAGAACTTTGAAATCTACCAAAAAATTATGTAGACAATCAAGGTGACCTGCTATTCTCATTTACTGAGTTTTTTTACTCTTTTTTCACAAACCTTACTTTTTTCAAATCCTGTACTCTGAAAGTACTCATTTGTATAATTTTGTACTCATTTGCATTTCTAAAACATTTTTTTTTATATTATTTCATTTCAATTTTATTAATTAAATATTTAAAATTATTTTGATAGTGATTTGAATTTCATGCGCACATATTGCTTGCCGTTTCCAGCACATCAGAGGACCGGGCAAACACCAGATACAAGTTTGACAGTGATTTAAATTTTGAACACACATATGGCTACCATTTTCAACACAATTGAGAGGCCGTATTATGAACCTGGAGAGATAGATAGATACTACAGACCTCTTTTTCTAACAATGTCAAAATTACATTTGTGAAAAGAGATGGATCCAACATTTGCATATGTAATCCCCAGGCTGATCTTTGATGTGCAGTATGTACGCCATGCTTGACAGTCTTGAGACATGCGTAGTATGTACAGCAAAGTTTTTTATCCATTTATTTAATTAAATAAAAGGATAACAAAAACCTTACTGTACATACTACGCGTGCGCTTATGGTTAATTAACCATAAAATCAAAAATTACAAACTTAATTATAATTTACAAACTTATGTTCGGTGTCACTCATATTAAAAACAAGTCAATGGAGCGACACCTTCATAAAATAAACAAATAAAATAAAAAATAATAAGAAAGAAAGAAAACTACATTAATACAAGTAATAAAAAAAGAAGTATAAGGAACAATACTATTTAAAAAGTTGGAATTAACACAAAAATATAAAAAAGTAACGCTAAGAAAAATGAAAAAAAAAAGAGAAAATGAACGGATGAGATAAGATGAGTGAGAAAATATGTAAGAGAAAACAAAAACTTAATCACATAAGTTCAGAAGGATAAAGTGACAGAAAATTTTTTTTGCAGAAAAATATAAAAAAACAAATTAAAGGCTAATTTAAATTAAAAAATATATACATACACTACTATATACAATATTAAAGGCTGTATTAAAGCCTATAAACTGACCGCTTTGGAAGATTCCAATCCCGGAAAAAAAAAAATTTAAAAGAAGTTTAAAATTTTTATAAAATTTGCTATGAATATATTGAAGAATGGATAATGAACTTTAGAGCATTGAATTGTTTTAAATGGACCCTTATAAATAGTAAAATTTAATGGAAAAAAGTTTCGAATTTGTAATAAAGGAAGTAAAAGATATTGTTATTAATGACAATTTTCTTTTTGAAGAAATTGGAAGAGTAAATTTATTTTTAAATGAAGAAAAATTGAAGAAATGGAACAATGAGAAAATAGAACTTGAAAAAAGATGGGTAGAAATCTTTTGGCATTTTAGAGTAGAACATATCCCACATGAAAATTTAAAAGTTTTAACAGAAATTTCTTTATGTTGTCCAGGCACTAATGCTGCTGTTGAAAAGGTATTTTCACTAAGAAATGATTATTGGAGCAGTGAGAAGTTGCAACTTTCTGTAAAAACATTATATGCTGTCTTAACAGTCAAATTTAATATGAAATTTAATATGTTCGGATGCAGCTACATTATTAGACGAACATTCTCATCTAGCAAAAAAAAATCCACTCAGACGAAAAATATGTTTAAAAAAAATAAAATAAAGATTTTTATGGTTTTATCTTCCTTTTTTTTTTACCTATGAAATACTTGCAAAGTGTACCCTTTTTGAACAAAAGATAGTTGATCCCCTTAAGATAATTTAAAATGAAATTAGATTTTTGGGCACCACTCTTTAAACAAATTTCTAAAAACATAATTTGGGTCCCCTAATACTGTAAGTCCTAGGCCTAGGCTCTGACGGCAACATTTATAAATAGCAACAACTTTTAGCAAATTTTATTTAAAATTTACATGTATGTTTAAATTTTGTCACTATTTTAGATTTTCATTGAATATATTCTTATATAAAAATATATTTTATATAAAATATTTATGGAGTATTATTCTCTTTTACTATCAGCTATCAAGATGATTAAACTGACTTGATCAGCTTCAGCATTAATCTGAAGCTAATGAGTTTATAGCTGAAGCTGAAATATCAGCTGTAACCCCTACTTTATAGACAACATAGTTAATGTGATGTATATACATTATAAAAATAAATGTATTTTTTTTAATACTCAAATACTTATTTTTTTATTTTATGATACATTTAAAAAAATTTTTTTAAACACATTTTTTTTATAATATTTAATACTTAGGAAATACTTTTGCCAAATATTCTTTAGATAAAAATAATATTTACTTACATTACTCTAATCGAGGTTTTAAACAAGGATAATATTTACTTAAGTTATTATATTTGTCCCCCAAAGTTAATGTAGCTCTATTATACATAAGTCTCTCACTAATTCTAATAATAAAAAGTTATTCCCATTATTACTATAATTATATTTACTAACCTGTTATTATTAATATTTATCAAAAACACATTCTAGTTGTTGAAGTCACTTTTACTCATATCAATATGCATATATTGTCAACAGTTAGAGTGCACCATGCAGAAATATTCTTTAACATGCTGCAAAATACAAGATATACAGGGGTGGGACCGCAAAATGTGAACGTTTTTGTTTTATTATAACTATTTTCTCGTTAGATGTAGTTGTACTCTCTCACTCATCAGAAAGTGTCTAAAGAGTTGTTAAATATGAACTATTTTAAATAAGAATGTCCAACCATTGGACATTCTTATTTAAAATAGTTCATATTTAACAGAAAATTAATTATTACAATCAGAAAAGTGTTCACATTTTGCGGTCCCACCCCTGTACATAAGATACATATCATATAAGACCTATTACCTGGAACTTAACATTTTATATTGTTTAACTTACTGTAACTCAATTATAATAAATAAGCATATGGTTATAATCTATATAATAACTAACATCTTTTTTTAGTTATTATTATTTATGTTAAAGTTATCAAGTTAAATTAAAGTTTTATAACTAAAGTTTGAATGCAAAAGTTTATATCAATAAAATTTTTTATCAGTATTATAAACATAAGTATTATATTACAAGTATTTACAAGTATAGGTATTGTAAGTATAAGTTATTATTATGTATACTATGAAATTATTGTTAATATTACAAGTGTACAATTTTAAATCAAAATCAAAAAATATCAATGATTAAAAAATGAGGTTGATGCATAACAATAAAGCCATATTTTTGCATTGAAACATCTAATTATATCTTTATTTATATCTGACGGTGGGTAAACTTTGTTAACATCAGTCATTTTGCTTGCATAAAATATAGAAAAATCAATGGAAAAGAGTGGATCTGTTAAAACGATTTAAAAGCTTTTAATTCCCTAAATATAACCTATTCGCTTGTTTGCTCTTTTTAAATGTTTCTGACTAAACTAATATTTTGATTAAACTAAAACCATTTATTATCTAATTATATCACAAGTGTCTCAATGGAATATTTACTACATGTTTAATATTTTCTGGAACATATGTTTAACAAATATGTTGAACTTTGTAAATTCATTTAAAAAATATATGTATATATAAAAATTCTTTTATAATGATAATAAACAAATGAAATTTTAAAACAACGTCTTTTTAACTGAGTTTTACAGTGACAAAACACATCAAAAAAAAAAATTCTTTTTAATTACAATGTAAACATAATGTATTCAAAAAATGTAATGCATAAAAGTTAAATTTTTAATCTTATTTCACGCACAATGCGAATTAAAAATGGCAACCATCGAGTAAGTTTTATTATGATTTTTTTAATTATCAATTTTAAACCTTTTGGGAACCTTATGGGAAACCCGTCAAATCCCCAGGTTATTCGGCCCTGATAAAAACCAGATAAAACCCTAACGAGCAAATATGCTTGATTTTATTACCATATGGGACCCGTCTGGAAACCAAAACACTTACCTGTCAAAATCCCGTTCCCGTAAGCCCAGACACAAACCATACGGTACCCGTCTGTCAATGTTGGCTGGGCTATTTTTAAAAATTTCTCTTGTCACAATGATTTCTAACCTCCTACGCATTTCTTCAACACTAGTTATAAATTCATACGATGTAAATATTTCTTCTTTGAATCTTGCATCAATTAGCTGAGATATACCAGCAGCCATAAAAAAAAAAAAAAAAAAAAAACAATCATCAGAAAATTTAAACAAGTGTAAAAATCTGAAGGTGGTTTAAAGAGTGGTTGGTCTCAATACAAAAAAAAAGTATTTAAATAAAGAGAATAGCCACGTATTGAGTGGAAATAAAAATCAATTCTAAATATATCAATATAATTTTATACAACTTGTGATTAAATTAGTCAATATGAGAAACTTAGTTATTGGTAAAATAAGATGTTATACAAAATTATTTACATTTCCAGTAAAGTGTCCAGTGTGAGAACTCATTGATGGAAGAAAAATTAGAAACATTTTTTGTCCCACTGCTTCATTTTATCAAAATTGCTTTTCTCAGGTTACTCTTCTCCATTTACTATCTTCTATAATCTAAAGAGGTTTAAAAAAATTCACTAATGTTAACTAGTATTATTTCAAAAAGCTATATAATATTTCTCAGAAAGAAAGAAAAAAAAAGATTCTTTTGAATCATTAAGCAATATAATATTATAGGAAAGGGAAACAGGAACCCTTTTACTAACATTTATTATTTAAATATTTATTAATGTTAATTTATTATTTTCTAAATTAAGTAACAAATATAGTTTAAAAGAAAAAAATTTAAAAAAATTTTAAAACTTCTTTGATCTTTAATTGTGAACTACAATTAAATTTCTTTGTTTCTGTATTGTGAGGCTGTAGCGGTTGATTTTGGAGCATGTGGAGAAACTGTGTGGAGTCTCTAAAATATGATGGAAGTGTTTCGGCTAGTGGTTGTATGAACTTAGTCACTTAGTATGAGAGGTGGTCTGTGGAACCATCGCAAGCAGATAAAATAGGTCAGAGAGAATCATTTCAGAGTTTTTAAAGTAACTGCGATCAGATACCTATTATTATTCTTTTAAACATATATATTGTATAAACAAATATACACTACTAAATTATTTAGTAGTGTATATTTGTACACTATATTTAGTAAATATAGTGTACAAACATGTATTTTATCTATAATTGAATCATTAAAGTTTTCAAGTTAAAGATATACTTATATAATATATAACTATAAATAAGTATATGATATACCTTATATAATTATTTAAATATAAATAAATATTGCACATTCAAGATACTTTTCTATCATTGCAACGTATTTAATATTCTTTACTAAAAGATACTTTTTTATCTCTTCCATGCATACATTAAAAAACTTAACTTCCTACAATCAAGAATGGAACACCATTAAAAGGTAAAGAGTCATCCTCCCATCTTATTTTTTGGTGTTTGATCGAAGCTTCTTTTAATTTTTAAATATGTTTTTTTTTTATTAAAAAAAAAACATTTAAAAACAGGATAAACAGGATATTTACTATATTTTTTAATAAAGTTATTTATTACTCGTTTTGCCTAATACTACAGAAAGAACCAAGTTAACTTGCAAGTTAACTTGGTTCTTTCTGCAATACGTATTTCCTCGTATGATTCTGCACATATCTATTTTCCCTCTAAAGATATCATATACTAATAATTTCTTTAATAATTCAAAATAATAAAAATAAAATAAAACTATCAAATTTGGAAAAATTACATATGCACAAAATAAATAAAATTATATAATATATATTAAAACGAAGTCATTATTTGTACGCGCGTACAAATAATGAACCTATAATATAAACACTAGCTGGATTGACCCGTAAAAATACGGGTCTTTGTAATTCTATTCCACACAAACCTTTTCCCTTATTTTCTTAATCTAGCTGTCCGTATCGGTAAATACAGGTCTTTTCTTCTACTTCTATATTTATTTATTCCACGCCAATCATTTCTTTACTTGTTCCTTATTTACTTCAATATTTTTTAGTAAACGGTGGAAAAAAATTCATCAAAAAAATTTGCTTTGAGAGCAAAAAAAAACTTTAACATACGCACTTTTTCCGCATACCTATATAGCTTATTAAACCCCGTTTATTTATTTTTTTTAAAAAAAATTCTGAACTAAACTACTTTCTACATTTAGACCAGCCATGGACCATGGTTTATGGTCGCGTCCTAGCCATATTCAATAGTTTACTATATTTATTATTATTATATGCTTAGTTTTGAATAATAACGGTCTTTTATAGTTATCTTTGTATTAGACGGAAACGGTAATGCAATTCTTTAAAACGTTAGTCGCTTAAAGCGTCAAAAGTCATGCAAAAAAATAAATTATAAATTTTGTGGTTTAAAAGTTGAAGAATTAATAATATTATAACAAAAAGTTTGGTAATTTTTAAACGTTATTATTTAGCTCTTACTTATGGTATTTATTTTGTTTTCATTTTACATTTTTAAAAAAATGTTGAAGCGCCTAACTACATGCATAACTTTGATAGCTCACAAGTTAAGTGCGCTGTCATCAGATTCGCTGTGCAAGGCTTCAAATCCGCGCCTAAAAAATCTCAATACATTTTTTTTAATCTGGCTATATTTATAGCAAAAAATTAAATATAACAAAAAACCTTTTAATTGCTTTTTTTTTTCCCTGCCTCGACTGCAATACCATGTGGAGTAGCAGGACGGTTTTATCAATTTTTTTTTTATTAGGTTTTAGGACCTTTTTTTTTAAGACTATCCGTAGCTTATTAGGACCAATTATGTGAGAACAGTATCAAAATCGTGACACACACGCAACAAATTTTCGCCCCGTTTATTGGTGTTTTTAGAAATCCAAAAAATATATAAAATATAAAAAGAAAAAACGGTTAAAGTGTATAACATTTAACTTATTTAACTTCACAAATATTTTGTAATTTAAAGAAAAAAATCGCTGGTGGTAAATTTGAACCACGACTATTACGTTCAGAAGCTTAGCGCGCTAACCACTCGGCCATGCTGACACATCAAATATCGAAATTTTAAAAATATATAAAAATTGTTTTTAACGGAATTGCTGTAGATCAAAAATTAAGGAGAGGTTGACGCAATGCAATTTTTAAGTCAAAGTCAAACTATAAAACTTGAAAAATGTTTCAGTATGTTTTATCATTACTTAATTACGTACGTTAGATATTTGCATACACGTTTTCTTCTAAAAAAAGTGCTGTGACTCTTTCTACTAACACTACTATTAAGTTCGGCAATATTATATAGAAGAAGATAGATAGATTATAAAATAGTTTTTCACTTAAAAAGACAAACTCTATTCCACATTAACCTTATCTCTATTTCTCCCTCAAATATTATTTAGTGAACAATAGATTATGTGCTAGAAAAAAAAAATTCACATATGCACCTTTTCCGTATATTTATATTTAGAGCTTAACATGAAGAAGGTAAATCATTTAGTTCAAGACAACCTGCCCAAACCCAAATCCTCTGTTGATTTATGCACACTCACTGTGGCTAGGCCTGTAAAATAAGTAGCTAGGCAAGTCAAATAAATTAATTTGATCTGTTTTTCTGCATAAAACAAAAACAGAAAATGTGAAGTACTTGATAAAAGGAACTGTAATATTGGATTTAGTTAATTCAATACAAAGTGATAGGAAACTGCAAAATAAGGTAACAACGTGAAAATTATTCAAATACTAATTTACAACAATTTGTATTGCGTTTTATTAAAATAGCTTTATTAAATGGTATGAAGATTGATGATTCTTCTTCTTCGCCTTTAGAAAATGGTTAACGATTTGAAAGACTTTTAAATTGATTATAAAAGCATTATCTAAAAATGAAATAAAATCATTATTGATAACACTGAATGCACATTTATTTGTTTTATGTTAATTCATTTGAGAAATGAAAAATACGAACCAAAATTTAGTAAAAATTAGTTCGGCAATATTATATAGAAGATTAGACACTTACTTTGTGAGAGTGCTTTTTTAAAAGTCTCTAATATTTGGTTGGAAGGCTGGAATAACTCTTTTTTTAAAAAAATTCAGTTTTATCAGCATTGCTAAAGATAAAAATTCTTACTGACACAAAAAAATTAGGCATTTTTTCTTAAAATATTTCTTGGCTTTTAGTGAATGATTAGGAGTAAGTTTCAGTAATGAAGCTACCCAATAATCATTTTTAACGATAGACACCAACGTGAAGGTAAGCCAAGCTGTCTATCAACACAAAACATCACAACAACATTACAGGATGACAAACAATAACACCAGTAGTGTAGGCAGGATTTTTGTTGTTTCAGATATATATTTAGAAGCTGTTGAAGAGTTTAACTTTGTTATGTCTAAAAAAATTCAGGTTAAGAAAAACACTTTTTTTAAACATTTGTTCCTAAGCTTTAAAAACATCAATTTTTTGCAAAGTATTTTAATTCTATAAACGTGAATACACTTAAGTTTGGTTGAAAATGCTATCTGAAGCATCAAAAGACCCTGCCTATGCTACTGAATACACATAGCATCAAATATTTGTACATAACACATTTGCACATAACACAAAATATTCAGATTATGTGTTTCCAGAATAATTAAAAAAGCTAGACAACACAACCTAGCTCAACACTTGTAACACCGCTTGGCACTAAACGCTGCCAAGTAACACCACAATTTAGTAACACCGCTTGGCATTAAGTGCCAAGTAACACCACTAATTAGTAACACCGCTTGGCTAGCAAGAATCACAATCTTGCACTACACGTTGCCAAGTAACACCACTTTTCACATGGAAACAACTTAATATAAACTTGTATAAACTTAAGCACATAAATATAAATAAAGATATATAAACGCATATAAACACATTCATTTATATACACATATAGCAAAAAAAAAAAAAAAAAAACATACAAAAAATATAAAACACATATAACACATAATATACTTGTCAAAATTATAAATTAAGAACATTTGTAAAGACAACATTATTTGTGTAATGTTTGTTAAATGACGTACCTTGTAATGGATGTTTGTCAACTTTGAAAAACAAACTATTAAATGATCTTGTTCTTGAACATGCAACATATAATTGGCCGTGTGAAAAGCAAGGTTTTTTGAGATAAACACCAACTTTTTCAAATGTTTGACCTTGACTTTTATTTATGGTCATTGAGTATGCTAACCTAACTGGAAACTGACGACGTTTAAGTGTAAAAGGTAAATTTGCATCTGATGGAGCTAATTGAACTCGAGGAACAAATACCCTGTTACCAGCTGATACACCTGTTAAAACCTCACCATCAATATAATTGTTGTGTAATGCACGCACCATCAAACGGGTTCCATTACAAAGTCCACCTTTGAGATCTAAATTTCTAAGTAGCATTATAACAGCACCAATTTTTAATTTTAGGCAATGAACAGGCATACCTGATGGAGTCAAACTATTTAAAAACTCGACTGGAAAATTATTAATTTCATTAAGATCATCAGTATCAATGCTATCTGAACTTAAATATGTTTTCACATCACCGGGTA